GGGAGGAAGGGTGTGGGGGAGGGGGTTAAAACTCATTACCATTATCTAAAGCAAACTGATAGCATTATTCAGTAGTTAGTAAACAGAACATTAAACCTTTGTCCAGCGTGTTTGGAGGGGTCAGGAAGGGAGAAAGGGAGAAAAAAGGAGGAAGGAGAGGTGTGGATGTTTGTGTAAATGGGAGCAGGAACTCAGCCACTCTTGTGACTCCCATCTCCAGTGCGCATTTTCCGAGCCAGGATGACCTCCTTGGAGACCTTCTTGCGATCGCTGGCCAGCCCCAGGAAGCACATGAGGTCAATGAAGGCTGTGGTTAGGTTGAAGCGCCAGCCAAACTCACTCGTGGAGTAGTCGTAGGGGAAGGTATGGTGGTAGTTGTGGAAGCCTTCTCCTGCAAAACACGACCATGGAGAGGATGTTGCAGAGCTCTAGGTGATGGCCTCTTTCTCTTGGCCCAAAGCAACACATTCCCAGAACATGGTCTGGATTGAGTCCAGGCTCCTCTCTCTTCTCAGCCCCATTTCACCTCTCTACAATCTACCCCATCTCATTTGGGCATGGTCCAGCATGCCCAGGCTGGCCCAAATGAGGCAATGACAATCACAGAAGACCTATGGTGCTTTAGAGGAAAATGTGCATGTGGTGAGGAACTGAGAAAGGCTCTGGCCCACAGACTGCACCAAAACACCAAGGGAATCCTAACGGCTTTTTCTCTGCCACCACAAGAAATCTTCTAGTATTGGTTGAGCTACCAGCTAGACCTGCAGCAAGTCCCCAACAAGCCAAGTCAATCAATACTCCTACAACACTGGCAGTCCTAATGCCAAAATCCAAAGGGCATTTCCAGATGGGAATAATGCAGACAGACTTGTACTCAGCAATCTACCCCAGTCAGCCACCCTCTGCTCCGGACACCGTCAATGCTGGCTTCAGTGCTCACCCCTTCAGTGACAGCAGCTGGACTCCTGCTCCCACCCCGTGAGTCTCTACAGTTCAAATCCCTCCCTACCAAAAATCCAGGAACAGATCCTTCAGTCTTGGAAATCAGTGCAGCCCCAGTGACTCACAATGATGCAAACCAGATGAAGATTTGGGCTTGGGAGAACAGACGAGGGCAAATGCTGACCCTGGGATGTACTTTCCTAGGTCCCCAAAATGTCCAGAAAACACATGAGCTGATCTGCCTTCCCTCATCCTCAAATACCCCCAAAATCACCAGCTGCCCTGAGAACATGTCCAAATGTGCATCTGCTGCTTTTCAAGTTGACAAATCTAAGACAGATAAGCAGACACTGCAGCACACATTTTTGAGTCTGGTGAACAGGGCAGAGATGTTCCAGCAGGGTGAACAGGATATTGCTATTGAGATAAGGAGGTGCGAAGTGTAGCAGAGTCCTTTCCAGCCTGGAGAGAGGCTGGTGGCAGCTGATAACCCCACTGCCCTTATGTACTCACTGGACAGCCTGGGAAACACCCCCAGAGGCAAAGGCTGGAGGGGAGAGGGTGCAGGGGGAAATGGGGACACCTGGATTCACATAAATTCTTAGAAGCATCTGCAGCCCCAAGGGGTAGCCCCTGCTCTACAGACTACCTGCAGCAAAAGACATGGATGCTGAACATACCTAGGGCCCCCAGGCTGACCAGGGGGTTCTCCCGTGGGTTGATGTGCTGATCATACGGCCGGTTGCCGAACATGTGAGCAGCACTGTTCACTAGCCAAGTGGCATTGAGCCCTATGGCATAGCGCAGGATGGCTGGAATGAAGAAGCTGATGACGATGGATTCATCCCAGAAGTACCAGGGCACTACAGTGGGCAGCGTGAAGCACAGCAACACCACCGATGGCTTGTAGTATCTGGAAAGGAAGGGACCAAGAGGAAAGTGCTCAGTGGCAGTGGCAGGACAAGGAAGGCTTGGTTCAGTCCTCCCTTTGTAAGATTCAAGCTCAGCTATACAGGGAAAATCAAGTGCAGAAATACCTCACCTCTGAGCCCTGCATTGCTTGCCCTGGTTGGGCAGAAGCCATTCCTGGAGACTCCCAAGTCTTATCACCAGGGAGAAGACTCAGACTAAACTCCTGTTCTCCCTGTCCCAGTCTCATATGTGCACAAAGCAATGTCCTCATCAACATGAGTCCAGACACCAACTGCTGCTTTTGGCCTCTTCTTCCATCTGCTTTGCAGGTATGTTGGTCCCCATAAAGGCAACCCCAGACTTGCAGAGTCCCACAGAATGTCCCTTCTCCAGCTTTGGCCCAGTGCTGCAACTCTTCTTTGCGGACTTGACCCTGCCTAGGAGTACACCCTACCAACAAGGGTAAGCAAGGGATGCTTGCCCCATCAAAAAGATGAGCATGTGGGATCTCTCACATTGGAGAGATGGGAGTACAGGAAGCTAAACCACTCTGATGACCCACAAGAAAAATTCCAGGCGTATAAAGGAGAAGAGACATAAACTTTGCTTGTTTCATCTGGAACTGAGCTAGGGACCTCATGGGTGAGGGTGGTTATTATGGGTTCAGTCCTCCATCACTGCAGCCCTAACAGGCTTGCCTCCACTGGCTATCAGTCCCAGTATAGCCCCAGACAGCTGAGAGATACTCCATCTAAGAGGCACTAGAGAATCAAGACTGACCTTTCTAGTGACTGTCTCTCTCATGTCCCCATTTTCAACTCCTCTTTCACCACACTGTTTCCAGGAGGCTGATGGAGGGGGGCAGAGGCATGGTCTGGAAGGTGTACCATATCTCCAATGACGGCCTGGAGGCACCTGCAGGTGGTCTCTGGGCCAGTCAAAGCAGCAGCTGGGCTGTGGGCTGGCAGGCATGGAGGTGCTCTGTGGTGGGAAGCTCACCTGCTGCTAGCAAGATGCTACAGGGTAGGTGGGCGAGAAAGGTGCATGGGAGGGCTGGAGGTAGCACTAGCTCCTAAATACTTCCTATTGGAGAGGCAGAACTGATTTCTCACAGTTCGTCTCACAGCAAAGCCTCAGGCAGACTGAAGACTAACATTTCTCACATGATGCCCTCAATCCCCTCATGCTTCATCAAAGGCGCTTGGGGTCCCCAGCCCCTTTGCAGAGTCCCTGTTCCATCCCACATGGCTTTGCACTGGGGCTGACCCCACAGCTCACCTCCGCTGGAACATCACCACTTTGTCAGCCTTCATGTCACTCAGGTCCAGCTTCTGGCCCTTCTCTATGACGTCTGGGTGCTTGCGCACCAGCAGCCACCCGATGTGGGAGAAGAAGAAGCCCCGCTTGGCATTGTGTGGGTCTGCATCTGTCTCAGAGAACTTGTGATGGATACGGTGGTCCCGGACCCACTCGTAGATGTCATTCTGCAAGGCAACAGGAGTGGAGACTTAGGGCTAGGACTGGATATGTTCCCTTAAAGTTAACAAAAGGGCCTAAAACATTTAGATACCCAAATCCCATTGACCTGAACTCATATCACTCATTTTATCTTTCATCAGGGTTTGGGGTTTTTGGCTTTTAAAACAAAGGTTGGGTCTTCTTTGCTCAGCCACTTCAATTTTATTTGCAATCTGCTTCTTTGGTGGGCTGCCTTTTATCACAGAATCATAGAATCATAGAATGGTTTGGGTTGGAAAGGACCTTGAAGATCATCAAGTTCCAACCCCCCTGCCATGGGCAGGGACACCTCCCTCTAGACCAGGCTGCTCAAAGCCTCATCGAGCCTGGCCTTGAACACCTCCAGGGATGGGGCATCCACAACTTCTCTGGGCAACCCTGTACCAGTGTCTCACCCCTGTCCCAGTGTCTCCCCCCCCTCTTTTTTTTTTTTTTTTTTTTTTTTTTCAAATGGATGACTTTAGGCTTTGGTTTGCACATCCTCTGCAGCATCACAGGCTCTGATTGGTCACCCGTGCAATAGCCAGCCCTCATTGGCCAGTCAGTGCCTCCTCCCTGATATGCTTAGCTCGTTGGTCACTTGTCCCTGTCCCTGCATGGTGCCAGCTGGGATTGATCAACCTGCCCCTTCCCTTCACCCTAACATTTTCCATGGGTCAACCTGCCTTGCTTTCCCTGGGACTGACAAATCAGACCTGTCTAACTTGGAGGTGAATTTTTTTCAACTTTTTAAAACTGGAAATCAAGCGGTCTTAGAATTAAGACCCCTCTCTAGAAATAGAATAAACATACCATTTCAATTACAGTTATCAGAAATACCCCCCTTCAGCCCCATAACCATTCTGTTTAAGCTGCAAAATCAATACAGTTTGGAAAATGTCAAAGCTTTAATAATTTGTATTAAGAAATTATTGTTTTGGCCAGTTTTAAGAATAGATTTTAATAAGTCTGTGCTCATTTCTTTACACAAAGATTTCAATGTTCTTAAAGCCATGTATTACGCCATCCTAGAAAACATGAAACAGAGATCCAAGCATGCCTCTATTGCCTGTATTACACAAGAGGCTCCTTAATCTCCTAAGTACATAAGACTTTTCCTCAAAACACTTTGAAGGTAGGGAAGCAGCCTAATCATCCCTATTTCTTGCCTGGAACTACCAAGTGATTTATCCAAGCAGGGAGCCTGTAGCAGAGACACAGCTCCTCAGGTCCCTCTCAAGTGCTGTAACCACTCGTCCTTCAACTGAGATAAAATTTTTTACCTGCAGGTCATGCAATAAGATAATGACAGACATGGGCCAAGATTCAACTCTCACTTGTTTCCAAATACTGGAAACTGCTGCCTTCCTTCCAGCCAAATCCTGAGCACTTCCAAGTATCACCAGCCCTCACTGATGTTAGCCAGAGCTTGGTCACACACAGTGTTCCCCCAGAAGAGGGTGGCCCAGTGGCTTTCCCTTTCTAAGCAGAGAAACTCAACCAGTACCCAGCCTGGAAATGTTTCACCTGTGACCCAAAGTCTCTTCACATTCCAGACCCTACATAGCATCACATAACATGAGAAAGCCCAGCCTGAAAGCTGACAGACAGCTTGGGTTCGTACATCTCGGGAGGCTTTCTCTGTCTCCTGGAGATCCTTCTGCTGGAGGCAGGAGGTAGAAATTTGGAAAGAGACCATGTGCTGCAGCTAGAGCATGGTACCACCTCATCCACCACACCCTACGTGCAAACACAAATCATGGGTCTCAAAGCTGAGAAGTCAGTATCTTGACCCAAACTTTACCACATATCTTTTCTACAGATCCTATTTTGGGACCACCTCTAACCACAATCTTGTCTGAAAATCATGTCTTTCTGAGACCAGCAAGCAAAGCCTAGGAGAATGCCTCCTTCCCTTGGAGTTTCCAACTACAGGCTATAACCAAGAGAGCTTCTACTGTGCTGCAGCTCCCTGGTCTTGCCAGTGGAGGTGCTGACTAGGGGTAGAATTCCCAAATTCTCTGAAATCACAAGCCACAGGTCTCTGAGCATCCAATAGGCATTTTCTGGAGGACCTCAGATAAAACAGTCCATAGTCTTCTGTAGCCTTAAAAGTTAATGCTCTCATCTTAAAGCTGCTGCCACTAAAAGGAATGAGATAAACAGAAAATAAACTTTATCTTGATCTCATTGCAAGTAACTACTAAAAAAAAATCCATGGGTAATGGTACTGAATTTTCTGTAAAACTTTGGATTAGTTCCTATTGGAGTTAAATATCTGTCTGTCTCTCATCTTTGTCTATTCCTGTCCCCTACAGCAATAGCTCAGCAAATTCTTTCCCCCTCTGCCCTATAACCCTGTGAAAGATGGTCTTTGTGTGGGCCTACCCAATACACAGCAACCCATCCCATTCCCTTGCTGAGTGCTGGGCCAGTAGCTGGAATCAGCAGCTTGGTCCTTCCTCTTCCTCATGGAAGACTCTGGTTTAGTACCAACAGAAAATAGGAAAGTGAATTGTGTTTTAGAAAGGCTGAAAAAACCATCCCCACCCTGTTCTGATTACATGTCAATGAGGCGATATCCTCTA